CTAAACTTTTTAATTATACCAATTGAGTCTTAAATATTTTCACGTTTTGCCAATTGAGTCAATCTAGCTAATTTTGGCCAGAAATCGCTGATGTGGACGCCGACCTTCCTATGTGGCACGACCGGTGTTAAAGTGAACAAATTTTAAAACTTTTCAACTTTATATTAATTTTTAAAAATTTTATTTTATCTTCTTTGTTTTTCTTCTTCCTTGTTTAATTTTTTCGTTTTTTTTTGTTTAGGCTGGCAGGGGCACGCCAGCCAAGGCCCTGCGATCCTCGTTTGCCAATAGGCGAGGGCTTACAGCCCTCAATCAGAGCTGGGCGAGGGTTGCGAGGCCACCCCCAATGGCCGGCGAGGACTTGTGGCCCTTGCTCAGAGTTGGGTGAGGGCTTGCTACCCTCGCAGCGGCCAAAGAGGGCCGCGACCCCTCGCTCAGATCTGGGAGAAATCCATGCTCACAAAAACAAACCCTAGAGAGCATGGAGAAACTTCACTGTCCCGGGGCCGCTTCAGACAAGATATGCTTGAACAAGCAAATCCATATGGCCACAAACTTTATGTCCTTTGAACGAGCAAATCCATATGGCCACAAACTTTATGTCCTCCGAACGACCAAATCCAAATGGCCTCAAACTTGATGTCGTTAGACAAAGCAGAACCATCATCTGCTCCAAGTTCTTGATTTCCACTTCTTGAGCACATTGGTACTTGTCTATCTCCAGCTTCAATACGCTCTTGGTGACTTGAGTTCCTTTCTTGGCCCTAACTTCTTACGAACTCGCCTTGAGCCTCACGGCTCGATGAGCAACTGTGTTTAGGCCACTCGGTGTCTACATTAGCAATATCCGGTCAAAATTAGCCGGAAGGACTGAATTGGTATTATGTCAAAAGGTTTATGACTAAATTAACATAATTAAAAGGTCTAGGACTAAATTGGCTTCAATATAATATGTTTAGGACTTTCCTGGCACTTTTCTCAAAGAAAACGAGAATAAGGAAAATAGGGAAAGAAAAGAGAAAAAAATAAAAAATGTCAAATAATTTACTAAAATTCCACAAAATGTGGTCGTTTGAGTAAATATGTCCATGTCGGACACTGGCCATGCCACATAGGATGACGATCGGCGCTGACTGGATCTCCACATCAGTAATTTCTTACCTATACTGGCTGGAAGAACTATAATTGGAAAAACGTCAAAAGGTTTACGATTAGGTTGGCCAAATTGAAAATTTTATAATTGAAGTAGTATCCGTATAATAGGTTTATGACTTCTTGGGTAATTTTCTCCTTATTACACGTCTCTCACGTAATTTCTCAACGGAACGAATTGTTCTCAAGACTTTTCATTCATACACAAAAGTAGGGTAAAAATACCACCTTATGGATAGAGCAAAAAGAAATTGGAGAAAGACGTGAACTTTGTTATTTGCAGCGTATAATTACGTTCATTGCATTGGTGAAGATGAACTTTTTGGTTGCTATAATGTAAGAGAATTTACTCATTCTTATATTTGATTTTATCAAGACTTTGGATGTTTGACCTATCAAAAATAAGATCGTTGGATTCTCGTCCTACCGTCATCAGAATTAAAAAAAGTGGTATTTTTAGATAAGACTCCAGAGTACTATATTTATATCGACATTGGAATACGTAGTTAGACATTGACATTTAACAGCGAGTCTAATTAACCTTTTTTTCTGATTTTGTTATAACTCGTAATTACTGAAAGTCCTCCTTAATAATTTGGCCCGCTTTGCTTTCCCTGTTTGAGCCATCTTGTCTGAAAGTCCTCCTTAATAACTCGTAATTTCTGATCTTGTCTCTGGATTCATCATCCTCACCCCTCTCTCTCTCTCTCTCTCTCTCTCTCTCTCTCTCTCTCTCTCTCGTTAGCATCGTTGACATCGAGCGCCGAATTTATATCGTGAAGGTTTTGTATTGTCCACGAATCAGGTAAACCTTTTGCTTCCAATGCTTTGTTTTCTCTATTACACTGAGGCATCGAGCGCCGAATTTAATCAATAATTTCTGGTCAAAAATCTTGTGTAACCGAAGCAGATTTGTGGAATATATTCATGATTCAGAACTTTGTATGTGTTGTTTAAAATAAAAATCCTTTGAAAATCAAATCAGAAAATCGTTTCTGAAGTTGCATATCCTATGTTCGACAAAATGCTTAAAAGAAGAACCGAATTGATTTTTGTGAAATCAATGCGTAGAACTCGTTCTTTTATGCTTGATGTACTTAGGTTGATGAATCAATACTGAATCTATATTTTTTTTCATTGATTTTTTGGCATGAACATTGTTGTCTGAGTTGGCCGTGCGTGTAGTTCTCCTTCGCCGGAAATTCATCCCCTCGCCAAAGTTGCCCGCGGTTTGAGGCCGCTCCAGTCAGTCCATTTCTCATTCTCTGATATGTATATGTATGTTCTGTGTGCTAGAGTTAATAGAGTTTTAGTATATACGATTTCCGAGTTTGAAAATCTCTCACCGGAGTTTGTCCGGCAATGTAGTAACCATCAGCCAACTAGTGGCCGGTGGTGATTTGCGGGTGGCGGCTTAGCATCGGAGAATATTTTGGTAGTGATTGAAGTGTCGTTTTAAGATTTTTGGCGAAGCTCAATAAAGGCGTGAGAAAGGTGAGCCCACGGTGAAGCTTGGTGAGAAAGGTGAGAAAGAAAGCCCTGGGGGAAGAAGACTAGGGGTGATTGGTTTCAGGGTGAGTCGGTTCCAGACCTAGAACCTGAGACCGACCCTGTTATAACTGGTTCCTAGTTTTTGGAACCTGAAACCTACCTTGTTTGCTCTGGACCCTATTTTGGAATCTACCCTGTTTTTTTGATCCAGTTACAGGATCTACCCAAGAACCCTTTTTTTTTGTTCCTTTATTTTTGTTTTATTTTTTCCAGGTAGCAAATAGGAAAACTTATAACTCAAATCAAAGGTTTTAAGTTTGACTATGCAAACAATCTTAAGTATTCATACAAAAGCATAATATCTTAGTCCCAATAATTTAATGGACGTGATAAAACAATATAGGTTCCAGTTGGATATGTAGTTTCTTCGTTACAGAAGAAAAATTTTAAGAAAAAGGAAATTGCTCCCTATAATGCTTACAAGCCCTTGAGTTAGACTATTCGCAAATAATGATCACCTCCCTCATTCTTTATGATAGAATGCTTTGAATTCTAGCCATACAAAATTGCAAGTGGACCTCCATATAAAACTTGTTCTAAAACCGGTCCGGGTGGGTTTTCACTTGGAACCGGAAACCGGACCGGTTCTAACTGGTTCCCGGACTTTTTTTTCGGGTGGGCCGGTCCAGTTTTCGAGTAAACCCGATCCAGTTGCACACCCCTAAAGAAGACCAGAAAAAAGAAATTAAAAAAAACTAGAAAAAAAAAGAGTCAAATATAATTGAGACTAGATCACATTCTAATTTGAGTGGAGCAGAGGTACAATGGGCCATAGGTCAAGTCAAGTGAAGGGCTTGTACTAGAAATTGGGCCAAAATGGATTAAACGAAAGAAGTTAGAAACTTGGGCTTGATTTGTTGTGATGGCCCATCAGAAGAGACCCAAATTTAGACTGGGCCCGAGGACCGGTCGGAATTGCGAGTCTGACCCGGACTGCTAGAGTTCGGATCAGACCGGCTAATTGGACCTGGTTCCTTGACCGGGTCTAAAGTCTTTTTCTTTTTTCGAAATTAAAAATAAAGATTTTAGAAAATTCAAAAAAAAATAAATAATGTGAGAAAAGCTAAAAAAAAAAATGTAGAATTCTCTTAGTTCAGGGCTTTCAATAAACACTTTAGGCTTGAATAAAAGTTGAATCTAAAATTGAATGAGCCTTTAAGGATTTACTTTAGGAATTTTTTATTGCTTTTTCTTTTAGAGATGATGTTAGGTCGTTGTTTGTGCATTTTTATTTTTGATTGCAATTGATTGTGCATTTTAAATACTTTGTTTGTTGTTCTCTTTAGAATGGTTAGGACGAAATTTCAAGATTCTTGATTAGTAAAAAAGACTACCCCGGTATGTTGGTTAACAAATAGTCGAGTTTAGGTACCGAAAGGACATTACTTGAAAAGTTAATGTAATCAAGTTTCCAATCTGTAAGAATCTCTGGTTGCGTATGCATCGAGACGATATTCCCACGTCTCGATTTTAGGATTTCTAGCCGACCTTTAATCGTGGCTAGTGGCGACTCCAAATAAAGCATGTAAATTTAGACAACCAACGTCACGCGAGATACGGACTTAGGGAGTGTCTCGTAAAGTACCTCTGAACCTACTTTCCGAGGAGGCCCTCAAGGGTTAGGTTGCGACATGTCTTTAGGCCACTGTTAGAATAATAACATGTTGTGAGTTACAAATTTTTGAAATAGTGGACCTCACAATAATTTCTAATTTTTTATTTTTTATTTTTTTGTGACTCAAAACGGGCCGTTATTCTTACAGTAGATTAATGATCGTCACATAATCATTTCTTCTTCTCAAATGAGGACCCGAAGTGGACATTATTTCAAATAAAAACTTGAAGTGGCTAAATTAGTTTCAAATATGGACTTGAACTCGGGGGCTGGCCAGGCCGGCGAGCTTGAGACATTTCTGGTGTCGGGATATGAGTAATTTTGTCCAAAAAAAATCTGGATAAAAACTAACAAACCCTAAAACAAAAAAACCCCAAAATTACTTCTTTCTTTATTTCTTCCCAACTTCTTTCCCAAATTCCACTTGAGACTTATTTGAGACTTATTTAGTCACTTTAGCTCTTTATTTGAAGCAACGCCAATATCGAATCTTTATTTAAGAAAATAGCACTACTTCGAATCTTTATTCGGAATTTTCCCGAAAAGTAACGTGAACACATTTGAATTAGTTCGACATTGACATTCAACACAGAGTTTTGACTAACCTTTTTCTGTTTCTGAAAGTCATAACTACCAAAACTCCTCCCCAATAAATTGGACCCGATTTGCTTTCTCTGTTTGAGCCATCGCTGTTTCTCGTCTCTCGATTCCTCTTCCTCGCCTATCTCTGACGTCTCTCTCTATCTCTCATGGATTCATCCAAGGAGATCTTGCTCGAGATCTTCCCCTACGTCAGAGTCTACAACAACGGCACCTTCGACCGCCTTGCCGGCTTCGAGATTGCCCCGCCGGGCCTCGACCCCGAGACCCAAGTCGAGTCCAAGGACGTCCTCATCCTCCCCGACACCGGCATCTCCGCCCGAATCTACCGCCCCTCCTCCGCCTCCGCCGCCACGAAACTCCCCCTCGTCGTCTACTTCCATGGCGGGGCCTTCATCATCGCCTCCATCGCCGACCCCAAGTATCACGCCAGCCTCAACTCCCTTGTTGCCGAGTCCAATGTCATCGTCATCTCCGTTGACTATCGCCGAGTCCCCGAGCACCCTCTCCCCACGGCCTATGATGACTCCTATGCTGCTCTGCAGTGGATCGCTTCCGAGGAAGCCCGGAGCGAGCCGTGGCTCAGGGACCATGCCGACTTTGACCGGCTATTCCCCGTCGGCGACAGCGGCGGCGCCAACATGTCGCACCACTTGGCCATGCGACTCAGGTACGGTACAATAACAAACCCAAAGAAGCTTAGTGAGTCTTTTACTGTTCATTTATTATTAGTAACACCGTGATTTCATTGCCTGTCATACGTATAATTACTATTTTAAAATTTTTAAACAATTTTATATCGAGTAGACACTGAATAATATTATTTATTATGGCAGATAAATTTTACGTAAAATCTTTTTATTCCATTATTTATCTAAATTTCTGCATCCATCACCGATTAAGGGATGATGTACTGGGCAAGCGGGTCAAGCTCTCGGGGATCGGGATGATACAACCGTACTTCTGGGGCGAGAAACCGATCGGGGCGGAGGTGGCGGACCCTGGCCGGAAGGCGTTGGTGGACAGCTGGTGGCGGTTCGTGTGCGTGTCGGACAAGGGGTGCGACGACCCGCTGATCAACCCGTTCGCGGACGGGGCCCCCGGCGTGGACGGGCTGGCGTGCAAGAAGGTGCTGGTGATCGTGAGCGAGAAGGACATACTGAGGGACAGAGGGAGGCTGTACTACGAGAAGCTGGTGGAAAGCGGCGGGGCGGCGGCGGAGATCATGGAGATCGACGGCGAGGATCACGTGTTCCACATCTTCGACCCGAGCTGTAAGAAGGCCAAGAGGCTGTTCGAACGGGTGGCCGCGTTCGTCAACACCGGTGGTGATGATCGCAAGAAAGGTGCATGATGAAACAAGAGAAACGTTGGAAAAACTGAGGGAGTTGAAGAAGTTTTCTTATTGCTTTGCCTGTCGCTGCTGTGGTTTCTTGTCTTTGTCATGTTGTCGGTGATCGTCGATACATTCTTGGCCCCGAGAGTGTGGGTAGCGTGTCTGACTTCCTGATCACTTTTGCTGATCATTGTTCTAAAAACATCAGTAATACGTCTGATTCGTGTTTTTACTTTCGGTGTAAGAAAAGTTCTAAACATGATACATTGGTGTTATTTTAGTCTTAAATCTTTTGATTTAAAGTCAATTTAGTTATTTCGGCTAATTTTGATCCGATATTGCTGGCGTGAATGCCAGCCGTGCCACGTAAGCTTACCGGCGATAACATGAACAATTTTTAATAATATTTTTTTATTTTTTCTTTTTTTTTTCTTCCTTTGGTGCGTCGCGGGGCGACCGGCCAGAGGCGAGGTACCTCGCCAAATCCGAGGATTTAAGAACCATGATCTTCTTTGCTTTGACCAAGCTATCCCACCCAAAAATCGCAGCTGCAGAATTAATGAATTCCCCGCGTGAATGTTCATCCGCAGAATGCATGGCCGTAAATTTCTCTCCCCTTTTCCCGGCTGACATCTTTGCTGAAGACACGGTCCTTCGTGACAGCGTGCTGCCCGTGCCAATGTCTTCTCTTCAGCCGCGAAAGATGACAAAATATATGGCCATATCTCCACGCTACAAGGAGAATATTCCTCTGTCCTTCGTTTTCTTTTGTCTGTCGCATGCTTCATTTTCTTTCTTCTCAACATGGGAACATGTGGTCTTGGGAAAATTCCAAGTAGGGTCTTGAGTGGAGCTATTTTGTCCAAAATAGATATTGTTTTAAATAAAGGTACGAAGTGACAAAGTCAATCTCAAATATGGGTCTGAGTTCGCTAGCCAGCCAAATATTTACTGGCCAGTGAGCAATTGACTCTTCCGGTGAGTATGAGTTTCACTTCAACGAGGTGAAACTACAATTAGATAGGCACTTCTAAATTTCTGTTTATTGAGCAAATGACCCTAAAAAATTAAAATCAAATTATTGTCATCATTTTCAACAACTTGCTTGTTTTCCTCTTCTCTCTCCGCCGTGAAAGTGAACTCCAAACCTCCATTGAAGCTCTGAAACCAAGCTTTGTCTTCTCACAAAAACCTACCTTATCTTGGAATCTCATTTGGTGATGGTTCCTCTTTGTGAAATTTTATGGGATCACTGCCAACTGTTCTAAAAGCTCAAGCTGTGTGATGAAAACATTGTTTAATATTTAATTATTTTAACACTTCCCCTCACGCTTAGTTAAGTCTTTTTGTCTAGTACTAAGCGTGTATATATTTAATTGAGGAGGTAAATGGGGCTTGAAAATATTTGAATTCAGGACCTCCAATTCTAATATCATGTGAGATTTTGTGGGACTACTATAAAATGTTCCAAAAGCTTAAGCTATTAGATGAAAGCGGTTTAATGTGTAATTATTCTAACACTCTCGAAGATTCTCTCTCCAATTCTTCTCGCTTTCCTCTTTCACATGACTTCTTGCGCTCCACCTCCAAAATCCACTGCCACACGGGTCGGTCGATGCGATCGATGAGCTCCAATCTGTAGCAGAACGAGAGTGAGCACGTGCTAGTTCTTGATCGACAGGCCATGGTTCGTATATGGGAACTTGACCAACTCTATTGTCAACATGCTCATCGGCGAGCTCACAGCTCACAACAATAGTGTCAACGCAACTGCTGCCAAGTTGTCGAAGTCAAGTGCGTCGGAGAAGGGCTTGCTGGAGCTCTCTCAGGCTTTTAGCGACCTCTTCGCGTGCAGCACTGACATCTCCATAGAGTTTCAGAGGCTCACGAGCTTGCACAAAACGGAGAACAACGGCCATGGGAATGGCAAAGTAGATGGGAATAAACAAGAAAAAGTTATTTTTGGTTTTGTTATTTTTAAGCATACAATTTTTTAGTCAAATTTTTTAAGACAAAAGTGCCCCTGCTATGATCGATGGAAAAATCACTTGCTCGCTGTCAACGAACATTTGGCTAGCTAGCAAGCTTAGACCCTTATTTGAGACTGACTAGGTTACTTCAGATCTTTATTTGAAATAAAATTCACTATGGATTTTTTTTTTTTGAGAAAATGGATCCACCTCAGATCTTTATTTCGAATTTTCCTAATGATCTTTTTCCTCAGCCCACTCATGCATGTTTTTTCTTTGCCTTCAGTCATTGCCATGCTGTTTTGCCGACTTTTACGGGGAAAGTTGTCCAAAAAATCCTAAACCTTTTAATTGGATCAATTGAGTCTTAAAAATTTTTACATTTTGCCAATCGAGTCCATCTAGTTAATTTTGGCTAGAAATCGCTGATGTGGACGCTGGCTTTCCTATATGGTACGACCGGTGTTGAATTGAACAAATTTTAATATTTTTCGAATTTTTTTATATTAATTTTGTAAATGTTTATTTTATCTTCTTTGTTTTTCTTTTTCCTTATTTAATTTTTTCGTTTTTTTTTGTTAAGGCTGGTAGAGGGCCGCCAGCCAAGGCCCTGCGATCCTCGCTTGCCACTAGGTGAGGGCTTGCAACCCTCAATCAGAGCTGGGCGAGGGCTACGAGGCCACCCCCAATGGCTGGCAAGGGCTCGTGGCCCTCGCTCAAAGCTGGGTGAGGGCTTGCTACCCTCGCAGCAGCCGAAGAGGGCCACGACCCGTCGCTCCAATCCGGGAGAAATCCATGCTCACAAAAACAAACCCTAGAGAGCATGGAGAAACTTCACTGTCCTGGGGCCGCTTCAAACAAGATATGCTTGAACGAGCAAATCCATATGGCCACAAACTTTATGTCCTCTAAACGAGCAAATCCAAATGGCCTCAAACTTGATGTCCTTAGACAAAGTAGAACCATCATCTGCTCCAAGTTCTTGATTTCCACTTCTTGAGCACATAGGTACTTGTCTATCTGCAGCTTCAATATGCTCTTGGTGACTTGAGTTCCTTTCTTGGCCCTAACTTCTTACGAACTCACCTTGAGCCTCACGGCTCGACGAGCAACTGTGTTTAGGCTGGCCGGTGTCTGCATTAGCAATATCCGGCCAAAATTAGCCGGAAGGACTAAATTGACACTAAGTCAAAAGGTTTATGACTAAATTAACATAATTAAAAGGTCTAGGACTAAATTGGCAACAATACAATATGTTTAGGACTTTTCTAACACTTTTCTCAAGGGAAATGAGAATAAGGAAAATAGGGAAAGTAAAGAGAAAAAGAAATGTCCAAAAATTACTAAAATTCCACAAAACGTGGTCGTTTGAGTAAATATGTCCACGTCGGACACTGGCCATGCGACATAGGATGACAATCGGCGTTGATTGGACCTCCACATCAATAATTTCTTACCTATACTAGTCAGAAGAACTACAATGGGAAAAACGTCAAAAGATTTATGACTAGATTGGCCAAATTGAAAAGTTTAGAATTGAATTAGTATCGGTATAATAGGTTTAGGACTTCTTGGGTAATTTCCTCCTTAATACACGTCTCTCAAGTAATTTCTCAACGGAACGAATTGTTCTCAAGACTTTTCGTTCATACACAAAAGTAGAGTAAAAATACCACGTTATGGATAGAGCAAAAAGAAATTAGAGAAAGATGTGCATTTTGTTATTTGCAACAGATAATTACGTTCATTTCATCGGTGAAGATGAACTTTTTGGTTGCTATAGTGTAAAAGAATTGACTCATTCTTATTTTTGATTTTTCAAGACTTTGGATGTTTGACCTATCAAAAATAAGATCGTCGGATTCTCGTCCCACCGTCATTAGAAATTATAAAAATGACTTGAGAGTATTATATGTAAGAATTTCCTAATGTGGGCTTCATTAATTGAAATTAACTGAATTAGTTTGGTCTAATAAAGGTAAGATATATGGGTTCTTAATAAGTCTAATATGGGGCTGGCTGGTGTGGGCTGAGTACGGCCCAGCCCGTAACAAGAGGGCCCGTGGTCGAAAACTCTATAAATAGCGCTCAAGTCCCTCCCCTAACCTGATGATACACAATCTGACTCACATACGGATCTAGAGAGAACTTTCTTCTCGTGAGTGGCAATCTCATTAGGCCAGTGTTCTAACGAAGGGTATAGGGGAGAAGCACTTGAGTTCGTGTTCGGAAACCGTCGCAAATTCCGCGTCAAGTTCGATGGATTCCAAACCAGGTACGCGAATCGATAATTTCTCTATTAACGTGTTTCGATTTCTAATTATGGTGATCCTGGGCGTGCCATTTTCGTGGCCAACATGTGGTATCAGAGCCTGCCATAGATTAGAACTGAAACATGCGGATTAGGACCGTTTTCGTTATGTCCGAGAGGTTTTTACCCATTTTCGGAATTTTTTGTCAGATGAATGTAAAATTTTATTACATATTTGGAATCTACTCATCGAGATGAGAAGATTGACGGGCGGCACGTCACCGGACGAGGCCGCACGCGCCTTCACGCGCCGACACGCGCCGTGGGTGCGACGGCGCGTGACGGCCACGTGCGGCCGTGCCAAACCGGCGCATTTTCCGTCGGTAACCGCAGGATGACGTCATCGTGGGTGCGGATCCGGGTTGACCCGGATCCTGACCCGATCCGATCATTGACCTGACCCGAATTTCGACCCAACCCGACCGTTGACCCGACCCGAATGTTGACTCGACCTGACCGGTCAACCGGTCGGACCGATTCGTTGACCATTGATAGGTTGGACAGGTCAATCGGTCGGACCGGCTGTTCGGACCGGTTTGACCGGCTGAACACGCGCGCACATGCCGCGCTTTCCGGTGGCGCGTGAGGGCGCGTCTGATGTCCGTTTGTGACGTTCTTGGTATCGACGTGCTCGTATCGAGATTCTCTACATTGTGGTGTATTTATTTTACATGTTTGAAGCTTTTACAGATGTGAAAATACATATAGAACCCTATATACGAGTATTTTTAGGGTATTTTTGCGTATTTTCTTGTATTTCTCTATGGTTTCGGAAATGCATAAGGTAGCTCACATGTATATCACCACATAAGGACTGTGTAGAGTGTAATTCATTGTCTATCAATGAATGGAACAATATAATTAGCATGACATGTAATTTCAGAGATATACGCCACTGTCTTTACGTCTAGCATTACATGTATATAGTG